AAGCCCACCTAAGACACCTGTAGATGCTCCTAAGGACTCAAAACGCATGCATGAAAGACTATGCAGATATTATAATTAGTTCTGAGAAATAGAATGAATAATAATGAATATGTATATCGAAGAGCCATATAAGGGACGGTTGATACAACATACGGTGTGCATGCTAGGTGGAGAGATCCCCCATGCACCCGGCCGAATGAAGTAATGCCTGCTTTTTAATACACCCAGTGTTAAGGAGTTTTATTCCCGATTTTCAGTGACAATCTCAAGGAGTCTCTGATTTCACTAACAACGCAAAGGAAAACCAGCAGTATTTCTCATCTCACTGGGTGTTTTTAGACAGGAATACAGCTAGATGACTCAACTTACAAACAATTAGTTATTTGATCAAGCAGCTTGCATGTCAAGGAAACCAGATGACGACTCAAAAGATTACTTCCAATCCCATATTCCAAAAGGAAATCTCAGACTTTACAAAGCATTTGTAGCAACCATTCGCTTGGAGGAAGTCAGAAGCAACTGTCCTAATGTGTGGGCACTATGGTAACGTAGTTCACCCCAACCTTGGCATTCCTGCCTCTGTATGAGTTGGGGGATTTCTTCCAAGCAATTTTAACTGTTACTTCACAAAATACAGGACTCTGGGCCACCTTCACTTCCCAAAGTTAACACTGGAAAAATAAATTGCAGAAGTGTCAATCAATATTTGAACAGGTCCTCTTCTGAATCCCACATTTTTTAGATTTTCAAAAAAAAAAAAAAAAAAAAAAAAAAAAAAAAAAAAAAAAAAAAAAAAAAAAAGAGAGAGAAGTATCTTTTCTTCGTTCTCCTAAAACTGAACTGATTGAAAGGATATGGGCTGGCCCCTTTTAATGCCCCACCCATCAATATCTTTAGGGTCAAATTTAACAGTCAAAAAAAAGAAAAACAACTTCACTCAAAATCCGGTTTTGAGACTTGCAGATATTTTCTTCCCCAGACTTGCAGATTTTTTTTCATTTTTTTAATCTCCATTACAAAGGTTTTTGCCCAGGTTTACTACAATGTAAGGAACAGATATATAAGCATTTCCTCACAGTCCTAGATTTTATTGTTAATCATTAATAATAAAATGATGGCTACTTTAAAAAGTCAAATAAAACCAATAAAAAACATGGTCATTAGAGTATTATATACACACATAACAAAACAGCTTAATACAATTATATCACAGTTTTCTATTGTATCAAAGAGAGCAAAGAGATTCTGATTTCAACTTCAAATAGTCACTTTATATTTACTGTAAAAAAATTAAATGAAATTTTTAAAAAGCAATTCTCAAGTCCAAATGTAATCCCTGATATGTTAACTGCACAGAAAACACAACTTTTGGGAGCAACTGTAAGCCACAGAAGGAACAAATTATTTCTGATGCAAATTCTTATCCAGCAGGAATAGACTGGCTTCCTAATCTCCAGGCTGCTTTTGAACATAGGTACATTCCCTCATCTCAGTTTTTTCTTGAATTTTTCATTCCCATATCTTGTGTAAATACATGCTCCAGAAAGTTTCACATGCATTTTCTATAACCTCCCGTCTTCAGCATATCTAACGCAGATATCAGATGCTCATTTGTATTGCTACAGCAGCCTCAGTCTACAATCTTGTGAAATATTTATTCAGTGAAACAGGGTGACGTCACAGCAGCATGTCCGGTTCAGAAACTCATTCCCGGGACTTCCTATAGTGCTCCGCATGGCACAAATACAGTAAGCATATGGACCTTTTTATACTAGTGGCACTGACGTGAAAGCACTTCAGAGTTAAACTGTACATCTGGAGAGGGGGACTACTGTGATCTAATTGTCATTCATAAAAAAAAGAATTAAAAAAAAATACAGGACTTGAGCGCAGATTCCTTTACATAATGTGCATTGACAATGCAAACCAGCCTTCTTCTTTCTGCTTTTCCACCTGCAAAAGGAGAAACCAGTTGAAATTCATACATCATAAATTTCCCACAGACTTGCTAGTTAGTGCTGGCCTGTGTAGGATTGCTACATGTCAGTTCACTGATACGTAGCAATTGTCTCTCATAGGCACCACGGAGGTAGTCACACCACCTGCTTTAGACACCTAGTTTAAGCCACATCTACCTTAAGTATTCCGAATTTCCCCTCTGGGGATGTATACTTTGCTGTCAGGATAGGGAGTCTTGGACCCTAACTTTGTTTCTCTTTATTAATTTAGGTTATTTTGGACATCAGGAAAGACAGTATTAATATCTCCTCATGGTTGCTTTCAAGCATACAAACAGATCTATGACTGGTTTACCAGACTGTACTACTGCCTGGAGTTCCCCATGAAAGCATCCTGCTGCAGTTCATTCTTCTCTTTGCACATTAGGAATCAGAAAACCAGATCGGTGATTTTTCTTTGCATTTGGATTTATTTATCCTTCAGCAACTGACTTGTGCAACGGCTAGGTAAGAGCTCACCTGCCTCTTATATGTAGCTCTACCAGTACACCATAATGATTATTTGAAACTCTCTGCAGCCACCAGTGAAAGACTGCCAAAGGTTCACAGTTCTAACACATCAAGACGCCACAGCAGAAAACGTAGTTACAGGATTATTCATTCGTAAATAACAGCTCTGTGGCAGCAAACAACTAATGTATTAGCACTCAGGGCTCCCCTTACCAATTGTCCAGAATCCAGACTGCCATGAATCGATTACTATTGGCCTCGGTAGATTTAAGGTATGACTAAGTTCCTTCCCCTTCTTTATCTGTCTTGCTTTTTCCTTATATAACACTGCACTCAAACTTTCTGGCTGAAGATTTTTCAGTCTTACCTTTGGTCTTTGGCTGACAGGAGTTAATTGCACACTTTCTGACGTGGCACTCAGGGGTGAACAAGGTTTGCTAGAGTCTCCTACAGACCTGTAGACATCCAAAATGAGATTGAAAAAGTGAAAAATGGAAGTAACTACTAGAATCATGTCTCAGATCCTGAGTTAGAACCCTCATCAATAGTCTTGGACAACTGATGTCATCTGTCTTATGTCACATTGCAGGTGTTTTAAATACAAACAAAGGAAGTTGTGAAAAAGCTATTGGACCTTTGTCCCATTTCCACAGAGTTGAGCGTGATGAAATCAGGGAAAGCCCATGAAGCCAAAGAAAAACATGGTGATTCTTCCATTGTGTTCAAGTTCTGCTGCATGGGTAATCAAGATACTATAAAAATGAAACAGTAATGGGTTAACTTTTACCTTCTTATACTGGTCATACTGGCAGGGGAAACACTGTCTTCTTTGGAGCTGTCCATAGCAACTGCCACGGGAATAGATACTTCAATTGTCCTTCTTGCATTTTCTAGGCAATAAATAATAGCTTGATTCTGATGAGAACACAGCAACATTGCACAACATTCATTTCATTTTCCCATTTTTCGAGGGGCATCACGTAACTCTTCACAATTGCATAGAATATACAGAGCAGACATAAAACATCAGGCTGAAGGTCTATTCAACCCCATACCCACTCTCCGAAAATGACACATTGAAAGCGGCTATGCAGAGCAACTATGGACAACGTGCATAGATCTAGAATGATTCTTCCATGGATAAACCCTCTGGCTTTTGGCAATCAGAGGATTAGAGACTTCCAGTTTCTCTACTTTGTTCCTTTAAGATTCTACTTTTCTTGCTGAATTTATGTTACAACAGCCATAGAAGTGCTAAAGTGTTACGATCCCACTGCATGAGTCATGGCATATGCACCTGCATGCATATGCGCACACACACACACACACGTGGTCTCTCCTCCACCTCCTTCCTCTCTCCCCCTCAAGTCCTTCCCTTTATGCATCCTCTGTGGTTTAGGAAGGGGGAAAGGGCGGGTGTCCTAGAGCATGTGTACATGCTCACGCGCAGTTCTGCCTGTAATTGCAATAACTCCAGGAAAAGATAAAGCAGCCCTTGCCTGCTGGAGAGTATTTTTGTTTATATAGTTACACATGGCAGCTAATCTCTGAAGCTTGAATCAGCAAGAATATTCCCTTCACTAATTTATCTCTTCAGATGACTGGAAGCTTTAGTTATTTCTTTCTATTAGCACTGGCAGTAACTCAAGCAAGGTAGTCTGATGGAAAGAGCACGCAAAGACCGAAAATTAAAATGTGGTTGAGAATTGGATAACCACTCTGCCATGATTTTTAGAAGCCTGATGTAAATACTTAAGTCTTTTTATAAAAGATTCTCAGCAGAGAGGACTGATTAAAAAGCCTAGTTCTGCCCATCAGTGACTATGTAGCAGAACTGTTCTGCGGACAAGGACATAGCAAAGAACAGATTTACCATGAAGCATGATATTTACAGCAGACTAATTATTAAGAAACTAACTTTAGGAGAAGTTTAGCTGATATGTTTTTATCTCTCTGAAGTAAGGAGTGTTTGTACCACACAGCCATTAATAGCAAGTGTACTGCTGACCACAACCGCTGATCCAATCAGATATGGACAGAGAACTCCCAAAAGGGGAAAAACATTGTCTTACTAGTTCTTGTTTCTCCTGAAGCTGGGTACTTACCAGTATAATTTAGGGATGGGGGCAGAACAGAAGATATCATCGGGGGGACCATATCGGCAGCAGCTAATTTCTGCTGGTCTATTAGCTGCAACAGTTTATCACGTGCTTCTGCACTCTGACGATTCAGCTCTGCTATTCTTTCCTCCAAGCTCTTCGATACCACAAGATGAGTCTACTTGGATAATTGGATAATGACTTCCAATTAAAAACTTACAATTTGTGCCTTCAGGGAGAGCATGCAAGATTCATTCAAGTGCTTCTATGCATTTAATTTTCAAACTGAAAGTAAACATAATTATATAGCACCTTCTGTGGAAAATCTGATTTTGTCCCTTTCACTGTCCTGTATCTAGGTCCTTAATTGACTAAATGCAACAATATTTTTAAATTTCCCTTCCTACAAATAGGAAAAAAAATCTTTTGTCTGTTTCATTTAAAAAAAAAAAAAAAAAAAAAGAAAACCCCCAACCATCCAGCAGTTAACCATAATTAAGAAAATATTTAATCAGAGAGACACATATTCAGGATGGTGTGGGGAAGCAAAAGCAGATTTCTAGCAGAAGTATCCTGGAACTCATCTTTAAAACAAGTTTTCATCTACTTTGACCCCTTCCCCTCCAGTAATTGCTTCCACAAAAACAACACTTAAAAACATTTGCATCATCTTGTACAACTAAATGACTAAACATTACACAACATAATACAATGTGGAAAGCGACAACATGCTCAGCTTACATTTACATGAGGAATTTTAAAATCTTGAGGATCCTTAATCGAACAGTAACTCAGCCACTGCGATGGAACAAAAGTAAAGACAGTCGCAAGGGCAGGGATTAGGCATTTCTGTGATGTTAACTCCACTCACTGGGGTGCCACTGAATAGCTGCTTAGTTGCAGATTAAAGGTTTTTCTGTGTGAACTGAAGCATTCAAGTTCTCTCTTTCCCAAAGACTTTGGGATTTTCACCACACAGCAGGACAGACAAGCCAGATCCAACTAGTACATACGCTATAATTAAGTATTTGCCAGAGATGTACTTGCACCAACTTTAATCTCACGGGCTTTTGGGTCACAGTAGCAGAAGAGAGGTATGGCATGGATTTAAATATGTAGTTTACAAGCTTGACAAGAACCTGTGGGTTGGTGCAGTGCCTTCACTGTTAATATTATCCAAGCTACAAGAGGTATACCTGATCACGTTGCAATCACACCTCTTTTTGCAGCATAACCTTGTCCTGAACTTACAAACGTGCTGCACACTTTTCAGCACTCATATACAACATAGGCCCAATATGAGAAACTATTGTTGAGCTCCTTAGGGAATGATAAAAAAAAAAAAAAAAAAATCGTGAGTCTCCAAGCAAATGAATGAAGAGAATATTTGTTTTAATACTCTTTTCCTTAAAACAACTGACAACAGGAAAGAAACAGTCTTAAAGCATCAGTAAGCTATGGGGAAGCAGATCAACAGAAAGGGGAATCCAGCCCTCCTTTTCTGTTAAATTCTCACCTGTCCTTGTGAAAAGTCTGGACCAGAATTTGCATTTCCTATTGGGTCTGGCTGATGTAGGCAGTCACTTGTGTCTTCAGAGAAGCCCCTAAATTTGCTCAGCTGAGCTTTAATTAGAGAGTTCTGCCGTGTGAGCTCAGCTATCTGTCCCAGCAGATCACCATTTTGAAATAATTCTTCAGCTGTGCTGTTTTTTCTAGTGTCACCTGGGCAGGACAGACTGATTTTCTCGTGGGAACTCTCCAAGTCTTTGTCTGCAGGAGGAATTGGTTGCCTTTGAGAGATGACACAGTTTTCTTCAGTTATGCTCTGTGTTCTCAGGGAGGAAGGTGAGCTCCTTTCCTTGCATGGCTCTCTTTCAGTGTTTTCAGGTGACTGAGAAATGGCTGTAAACACTACAAACAAGGAATAAAGGAACAGTAAGGAAAGAGACATGTGATCCTCAACAAGGAAACTAAGTGACTTTATTGCATCAGGCTACTAATAATCAGGCAGGAACTTGAATTGTAACATCTAGCCTGAATGGTGTTATGTTAGTGATCAAAATCACTCTATGCAAGATACTGCTGCAAGAACTTACCAGATTTAATATTTCCTACTGCAAATAATCTTACATTTACATGATTTAATTAGAGATTGAGAGAGAAGTCAGAGAGAAGAAGATTAATTGTTTTGAATTTCTTAGCTGATAGATCAAACGCTACTTCTTAGTTAGTCCTCCATTTTCCAATATCCATTTACCTTACCTAATAAACTGTAAGTTTGTGTTTTAGTTCTGATATTTATACTGGGTTGGTAAAACTTTTAGAATAATAAAACAAAATAATACAAGACTTTTGGCATAATAATAAACTAGTTATTTACTCAGCCCCTAAGAAAGGGGAAGCACTCTAGCCAACAAAAGTAGTTAGGTATTTTTTGTGGTCATCATTAGCAAACTGATAACACACCACACACACGTGACCAAATATGGTACAGCACTGTCAGCTGCTACATGTTAAGTCCAAGTTGGATTTTGTGATCAAAACCAGATTTTCCATGCTTTATATACCAAATAGCCTATTCCTTCCTAAGCTTTAGCTTTTGCCTCTTGAGCAGAGCATGACATTTAAAAATTTACACATAAATCTGTTTTATGAATATTTTTTCATAAAGAAATATTCAAGAAGTTTAACATTTGTTGAGCCATTTAGCATCCTTAACAGTCTTAAAAGAGTAACGATACATTTCTCACACAGCTAAATTATAGTGAAGTCTAGGAATACAGTTTTATATTCTTGTTTCAAATGACAGACAACATCTGACAGTTCTCAATGGGACTGAAGCCAGATGTTGTTCTTTGCAGAAAGCTACCTTTAGTTCACTTCCTCTTGATTTATTACGTGCCTCCTTGCAGCATAGGTGACCGCCAAAAGCTTGAACTAGATATAAACTTTCAATTGTCCTGCCAACTCCTTGAATCAAAAGGACTTTTGGGTTAATTTTCTGACTTGGAAAAGACTTACAAAGCAACACAGCTGAAAGGGGGGGAAAAAAAAAGGAGGAGGGAAGGCACAAAACCCCACTACTGTGCCCTACTTCCTGTCAGCAACCATCAAGCTAGCCATAGACATCATTACTCGCCTCTCAACAACAGAGGGTTACAGGGCCCTAGCACATTCAGTGAGATGCACGTGGTTACGGTGACAGTTGCAGGAGGAAACAGCTAATTTTGAGAGTCACAAAGGGTCCTCCCTTCTGCTCACTTCATTAAGTTTAAATGAGAAATACATCCCCTAATCACCCCTGATGAACTTTCTTCCTCCCAACAACCAGAATTGAGCTACTGACCTATAAAATTCCTGAAGCCTATGGATACTGACACAAGACTGAGTTAATCTGGTTATCCGGCACCACATAATTTCACCTAAAACTTCTTCAGCCACTTCCTGTGTATTAAATGAAACCCAATGGAAACCTGCTCCCAAAGCTTTTAGAAAAACCTCTGCTGGGAAGACTGGCTCCAAGCAAGAGCACGCAGCCTACAGACATCCTGGTTTGTCTGCAGCATGGGCTGCAGAGGCACTGAATTTCCAGTCTTCAGTGGTCCCACCATTAACAGTGATGGAGGCCGGATTACACCACCAGCAGATGGAAATCTGGAGATGATGTGCTGTACGTCATAGACAAAGAGCTACAGCAAATCATACAGAAGTGACAATCAAAACCCGTACAAAATAAAAATGCCAGTCTGGATTGCCACTGACAGGACTGCAGACAATAGATGGAGAACCGCAGGGTACAGAAAGCCTAAAGGAAATCTAGCAACAGGCATAGAAAGAAACGAAATGCGTATCTGGGTGCAGAAGTAGGATATTCCAGCTATAGGGCCAACGTGTCCACGCATACAGATTAAAAATATTCCATAGAAAATACATCTCCAAAGGTAGTGCACAATTGAAACAGTAACACACTACACAGACTCCCAAGTCTACTACAGCCAGAGAAATCTCACCATTGTGGAGGGCAGACAATTCCTGACTGCTCTTCTGGCGAGGTGGTGACAACAGTACAGCTGGCTGGAAAACGTGAGCTGGCAAGCTTCTACCTGATCCCGCACCACCTGAGGCACCTGGCCTCGGGGGAAACTTGAAAGGAAGTTCTTCCTGTGGGAATTTCAGCATATTCTCCTTGTTGCCTGCATCAGTCCTGGGCTCAGAATAGCTCAAATCAGTTTTTTCTAAAGAAAAAGACAAAGCAGGGATAAAAGTTAATAAAACAAAAAAAAAAAGAAAATGTAAAATAAAAAAAAAAAAAAAAAAAAAAAAGGGGGGGAAAAAAAAATCTGGTTTAGTGCAATAGCAATGTAGGGAAAAAAATCTCAACAACAACTCATATTCAGGTATCTGAAAAGACAGACAGTTCCCTGCACACTCCTAACTTCCTTCTGATCCCCAGGTACAGAACTCTTTCACTCGAGCATAATACAAGTCTTTACTGGCCTTAAGAGCAAGAAGAGCTCTTACATGTAGCCTCACAATTTCAGGATACTAGTAAGAGATCTGTTTGTAGCCCATGCATAAGACTTACAGACACGTGACTTCTGAGGAATAGGTATTTAAGTGAGCTGCATTTGGTAATACTCTCTTGAGAAAAGCAGACCTACGCACTTGTCCTAATGCCCCTATGTTATAAATTTGATGGCAACAATGGTGGAGTAGAAAACAATTCAAAGCTTTTTCGAACTCTCTGATGATCTTTTTATGACTTAATTCAAATCAGACATCAGTAAAAAAAGAAGTTATTCTTCTGTATTTAATTACAACTAGTTTGTGTCTAGGTTGCCATCTACTTTGAACATACCAGGGAGGCACAAAATGAAAAGCATGAAATCAAAGTCGTAGCTAGCTGTGAGACCACAGTAATTTTAATGTGCTTATATCCACTTGTCCGTCAGTGCTATCTTTGAATTCTCCCTTCACCATTTTGTTCAGGACATTTGTTCCCAAAAGAGAAGTTAACAGAAAATTAAGCAGAACGTATCTGATCCCAAAACACAAGAGACAAAAGGCACCTTCAAAGGCAAAGAGCCAGAAGTGGCTGTTTGCATAAAATACTGCTTGTGGTTCACATTACTGAGATTCTAAGGCTGAATATAAAACCTGCCACCCACTATTCAATGACCCTGGCAAAAAATGAGAAAGATCTTCCTGCTCTGCTTCACTGTACAGAACTGCATTTCCAACGTATTCTACTCACATGCTATTTTTCACTATGACATCCCCCCCACTCCTCTCTCAACCATGCTTCCTCTCTCCGGAGAAGTCCTATGTTAACTTACGCATGGTTTCTGTGCTAAAACTAGCTATCTCAAATGTCTCACATCCAGTCAGATGCCTTAAGGACGCAAGAAATCTCCTTCTGAAGGAGGAAGAGGAAGATATATTTTTGTAACTTTAGGAAGCTTTCCTCTCAGGAAGATGCCTTTTACTGAGAAGAGAGACCAACAAGGAAATAAGATTTGGAAATTCTAGTCCTGGCAGAATTGGAATAAGAAGGTTTGGGGTTTGTTTTTTTGGGTTGGTTGTTTTTTTTTTTTTTGAGGGGCACTTTTTTGATTGTTTGGGTTTTATGTTTGCTTTTACAAAGCCTGGGGAAATCACAAAAAAGGGATCTGGTACGTGGCTTCTTTCTGACAACCCCACAGAAACAGCCAGGAAGAAAGTTTTTGACCACAAAAATGTCCACAAAAACAACATTTAACTAAGGAATACAAATAGCTCCAAGGAATCTTGGGATTCACAAGGAGTTACTGGCCTTAAGAGCAAAACCAATGCATTTAAACAACCTATCAGGAAAGACAGTTGGGAGAAAACTCCCTGGTGAAATAACATTAAAAGTACAAGGTGAATCATGTTTGGTTAGTTTGGCCATCAATGCTACTGGCTTAACTTAGCCTGCATCGATGTCATATATCACTCAGCTGGTCACTCACCTCTGATATAAAGTCACAAATATCAAGTAACAGACTTCTGCCTGGTTAGTTAACAGGCCTCAGTAGCTGCTGTTTCTGGTCAGCAGCGACCTCCAGCGCCTTATGGCAGAACCAATCTCATACTGCCAGGCTGCCTCAGCAACAGAAAGGTGAGATCCTGATTCAGTTGGGTTTGGTTTGTTTGGTTTGGTTTTTTTTTAGGACCCTCAGAATAAACCTGACTTTGTAAGCCATCTTAATGGGGGAAGGCTAGTCCCCTCCCCTTTTTTTTTTTTTTTTTTTTAAATAATATATTATGTATCACTTCAAGCTCAAGCCCAGGACTTGGCTAAAAGGTTAATCTTGAAGTCCTGATCCAAACAGAAGGATGCCAATGGGGATGGAATACAATCTATGAAGTTGTTAAAAAATAATCTGTAGCAAAGCGCTTGTACTCACAGCAGAACCAATGGCACATGAATTTCCAGCAGTGAGAGTCACGCTCACGCAAGAGGTATTTATTCAAGCAGACTTCTATTAAATACCAGATTTTCCACTGCAGGGATAAACTAACCACAACCCCTGTTTCATCCTTCACACATGCATACACTCACCTTGGCCATTCACTGGACCTTTGCTTGCAGTTCCAAAATGGTTTGGACTTTGTTCTCTTCTAGGTTCTACCAAAGGGAGGCCTTTAAATGCTTGTGTGAGAGAGATCAGCTGTTTATCTGTTACCGTCATGTACTGCTGAAGCTTCTTCTAAAGGAGGAAGGAAAAAAAAGAGATACAGAAATTTCTATTCTAGCAACATGAATTAGAAAATTATATACCACAAGCAGCCCTGAGAAGAAATTTGGCCTCCTAATACCACTGCATGAATCTGTAGGATTCCAGTGAGGTATTAGTGTCTCCATGTTTCTCATTTGTTTTCTCTCCTGACTCAAATAAATTGTTTTTCCTTTTCCTAACTCATGACACCCCCTTCCTCTCCAAGGTTGCTTTATTGCTTCATTCCCAAACATAACCATTGAACAAATCTACCTCCACTGCAAACTGAAAAAAAGAACGGGGAGGTCCCGGATGACTGGAGGCTTGCCAATGTGACGCCCATCCACAAGAAGGGCCGGAAGGAGGATCCGGGGAACTACAGGCCTGTCAGCCTGACCTCGGTGCCGGGGAAGATTATGGAGCGGTTCATCTTGAGGGCGCTCACAAGGCATGAGCGGGACAACCAGGGGATCCGGCCTAGCCAGCACGGGTTCATGAGAGGCAGGTCCTGCTTGACCAACCTGATCTCCTTCTATGACCAGGTGACCCGCCTAGTGGATGAGGGAAAGGCTGTGGATGTGGTCTACCTGGACTTCAGCAAGGCCTTTGACAC